TCCCCTTTCCTCTCCCCTTTCCTCTCCCCTTTCCTCTCCCCTTTCCTCTCCCCTTTCCTCTCCCCTTTCCTCTCCCCTTTCCTCTCCCCTTTCATCTCCCCTTTCATCTCCTCTCCTCTCTACTTTCTTTTTCTAGACCATGCAAGTTAAAAGACTTACAGACACTTACGTGCCTGAGAGACCACAATGGCTTTGTGGAGCTTGAATGAGCTGGACAAACTCCTCCTTTTCCTGAGGGAAGTTTTCACTGCATGATAAATGAAATCTCCTTGTGTTTCCCCTTAACACACTCTCAGCCTGACAGCCCTGGGATGTCTGTCCATTGTGAATCTCTCCCACTGCTTCTGCACTGGCGCAGGACACCACCAGTCCCTTAAGTAATTGATGGCCTCCAGCCACTGGCCATGGCCAGATCTTACTAAGCCAAACATAAACTCTGAGCAGCTGCAACGGTCAGGCCAGGAAACCTGGAGGTGTGTAAGGCTGTGTGCAAGCACAGCAGGTATGGGAAGGGCTGGGTCAGTGGCTCTGCAGAGCAGCATCATGTTTTCAGGGGATGATGGCAACCTGTCTGTCTGTGGTGCCCCAAGCATCGAGGGAGGATCACTCTTCCTTCAGGAGGATCCCTCCCTCCTGGGAAAGGGCGCTGCTCTTTCACCTGAGGGGGTTCATCAGTGCTCATGTCTCCAGAGGGGAACATCCTCACCAGTGCAGAAACGAGGCAGTGGAACACTCTGGGAGAACCCAGCAATGCCAGCAGCTGGACAATGCCCCGGGAGGGGCCCTGCCCACAGCATCCTTACCTTCACAGTGGTGCTCCTCTCAAACCTGAATGCCTTTGTCTGTCCGTTCTCCAGGTACACCTTGAGAACGTTGGGCATGAACAGGAGGGAGCTCCCCTGCAGAACAGAAGCAGCAGCTGGACCCTCGGGCATCCAGCCTGCGGGCACCAGCTGCTCTGCCTGGCACTGCAAGTCCTGGCATCCAGGAAAATCCTCCTCTACCTTGGCAACCCTCTTCCATGGCACCAAGCTTTACTCCTGATTATGCTTCTGGCACAGAATGACAGAAAGAGAGCACAACAAATGCCTTTACCGTAACACTCCGGGCAGTGCAGCGGCTGCACGTGGCCTGGGAGCACCGTTCCCTTCCCAGCGGCACAGCAGGATCCGGCCGGCACTGAAAGCAGAAAGTCATCCTCCCTGCTCATCACCAAAACCCAGCAGTGCCTCCAGAAAAGGATCTTCCCCTCACCCATCACCAGGGACCCCCACTCTGACACCAGCCCCACCCCAGGTGCTGCCCACAGCTGCACTCTGTGTCAAACACACAGCGCTGCTGCCCTGGGCCTCGCCCTGAGCTGTGTAACCCTGGCACCTCCTGAGCAGGAGGTGACGCCACCAAAGGGTCCTGAGATAGGCCCCAACACCTGGGACAAGATGAGGACACCCTCAGCAAGAGCATCTCTGTTGGGTGCTTCAAGGAGAGTCTGGGGACTTGGCCTCTGTCCTCCTGGGGCAGCCTGGTCACCTTTCAGCCTCCAACTCAGCCCCTCAGCAGAGGATGCCTGCACCTTCCTTCCCAGTTCCACCCCTGCTGCCCTGGTTGCTCAGCGCTGAGCAGGTTTACTCCTCCGCTCCTGGAGGTCCAGTTCAGCATGTCTTCTCCATGTTCTGGGACCAGCACACCACCTAAAGGCTCCACCTACTCCTCAAGAGAGTCTCAGGGTTAAGAACGGTGTTAAGATGATCTCTCCTGTGTTTCATTTACTGTGCCTCGTGTCACAAATCTCACAGCCTTGGTCCCCCTAGACACAGAGCCCACACACCCTGGAAGTGCTGCCAGAGCTAAAAAAACCCACTTCTGAATCCTGTCCTTGCTCCTCTCATACCCATTTTGTGGGGTTCAAGCTGCTTTCAATCGCCACGGAGAAGCAAGAGAATGCTGCTGCTCCTTTTTCTAGCGCTCTTTAACTAGCCCAAACACATTTGACAGGTGTTGGGTCCTCCACCAGCCCCAGGACAGTGATGCTGTTGTCCACCAGCTGCGCCGTGTCTCCCGTGCCGCAGGTACCTGCCGAGGGGGGCCTGGCACAGCCGAACTTAACATCTGCACAAATTACCAGCGCTCTCCTGCTCAGACACAATTATCCAGCCAGAACACCCAGAGAGGTTTCTCTCTCTCTGTGAAGGCTGTCAGAAGCTACAATGAATTAACCCTGAAAGCCTCCCCGGCCGTGCCCTTCCTGTCCTGTCTGGGCAGGGCTGGTTCAGCCCAGCTCACAGCTGCTGATTACCCTGCCCGGCGCTGGCCCCGGGGTCCCCGGGGGCCCGGCCCCTGCAGATTGCTCCGTGATGTAGAAATACATCAGCAGGCTGCAGAAAGCGGAGGCAGGACAGCAGCGAGGCTCATTAACAATTCATGTTCCCGACCTGCAGTGTCGGCTTTCAGCTGCAGAACGCAACCGCTGGGATCCTTCCCGTCGCCACAAGGATCACTTAGCCGCGCTCCATTAGCATGACAAGAGCAGTGTATTTACTGAAACTGGAGGCTCTACAGTTTTCAGGACCATAATGCCCATTTTGGCCGCCTTCGTACGTCAGCCCGTGGAAAGGAGAGCAGCCCTAAAGCACTCAGGGCTGCTGTAGTGCATATTGCTTTTCCAGAAAGAAATAAATATGCAACAAATTTATTCTTCCTTTGTGCTAATAGTTCACCGCTCAAAACAGGTTACATGTCCAGATGGTGAAAAGGGAATCTAACACCAGCACCTGAATTAATTTCTGCTACCTTTATGCTGTCATTAAATGAAAAGCAATCTAAACAGTGATTGTGTCCCTCCTCTGCACCCGCAGAGGCAGGATTAGCTCAGCACAGCGCTGGCAGAGGCTTTAGGGACACAGACTGCAGCATTCCCTACACGGCTGCCTTCTTTAGACTCTCAAAACAGGTCCTTTTCCAGGGTCAGTGAGACCATCCCTGAGATCAGCCAGCGACTGGCAGAGCTGAGACCTCACAGGCTGTGCCAGCAGTGCCCAGCTCCAGCTCCTGGAACCTCCAGGCAGACGCTTGAGCCAACCCCAGCTGCGAGAAAAGCAGGGTCTGCTGGTGATTTCGGGTCTGCCTGTGTCCCATGGCCAGTCCTGCCCAAAGCTCCCAGGCAGCTCTGCCTGGGGCCACTTCCTGGGCATTCCTCCCCCTCCCCATTCCCTGCCTGGTGGCCTGGGTGTCACATCAGCAGGAAGGATCTGATGCCTGGATGCTGCCCCAGGGAGGGCCCCGCTGCCCCCTGCCCAGGCAGGATCCCAGACAGCCCTGTCACCTGCGAACACAGCCCTGGGAGGGCAGGGACAAGTCCTGCACCACTGTGTCAGGAGGGGAAGGATCCCAGGGTCCAGACAGACACTGGCAAACATCTGGAGGCACAGCTGGCCCTCCCCTGCCCTGCAGGGAGCAGGAGGAGAGGGGTTCCCCCGCGCAATCACAGCGGGACCGCCCTGCGGGCAGGTGACACCCCTGGCACCTCTGGATGCACCTCTGCCCGTGTGCAAGGGAAAGAGAGCAAACACCTGCCCTGGGAGGGCTCTCAGCTGCATCAGGAGAGCTCCACCAGCGACAGGGAACAGGGGACAGACAGGGAGGGACAAGGAAAAGGGCACAGTGGGTGGTTTGTCATTGGTGCAAAGCAGAAAGGCTTGGTCCAGACCTGGACAACTGAACAGCACCGATGAGCAGGGGGCCAGAGAGGGGCATTTCGACCACAGAGTTTTTTCATTCTGAAGGACAGAAAGAAAGGTTGACAGAGCTAATGACTCCCAGCTGACCCCAGTTGACCCCAGTGAGCTTAGAAAGTTACCCAGAAGGAAAAGGAGACGCTCAGGAGCTGTTCACACCCTGGGGGGAACAGGAGTGCTCTCAGCTCAGCTGCCAGCAGCAGCAGGAGCCCGGTGATGGGTTTGCAGCAGCCTCCAGCATGCTGTGACCCAGCTCACCTCACACAGCTCAGCTACAGCTGTGGAAACCCTCCCGGAGATGTGGGAACACGCTGCCACCCTGTCAGCTTTGAGAACACCGTCACACCTAACAGCAAGGCAAAGGGACCAGTGACAAGCCCTCTGAGGGTGGTGTGCCCTGTCCCCAGGAGGGGACAGCCCGGTGGCTCCGGCAGCACATAAACCTGGCACACACATCAGCGCTCGCCTCCCGCCTCTGGGTCAGCATTTGTCGTGCCCACAGCTCACTGTGGGCTCACCAGGGATGGATTAGCGCCCCAGGAGATGGAAAGTGCCCCCTGCAGTGGCGAAGGAATGGTTTCGGGTCTGACGGGGGAGCTGGACAGAAGCAGTGCGTGTGGGTGCTTCCCATTATTCCCGGTAAACACACCACAGACAAAGCCCGGCAGAGAGGCCAGCGCTCCCTCCGTGCCCGGATCAGCATGGGCAGGGCAGAGCGGCACGGAGAGCCCCA